ACGGTACGATGCGTATCACGATACATGACTGCACTGAATTTCACCTCAGCAGAATTTAGAAAAACAGCTGTTTATTAAACACTGCTTACTATAGTGCCATTTCTAACTATTGGCAGAGCAGACGGTTGACCTCTGCACTGTATCTAACGCACACACACGCTCAAGGCTGATTTATACTCGACGCGTCCGCAAGTTCGCTTAGGTGCACTCGGCAAATATGACGTCATTGCAGTGTTGGTGGACGTTTGCTTTGAGTGCGCGCGGCGTCGTTTCGTGTGGCGGTGTGCACAACATGTTTTGTAACTTTCCGCTCAGCTCCGCTTCCGAAGATGCACGAGTTCAAAGCGACTCTAGCCGAACATGCACGTCTGTGCCAGCATTTATGTGAAACAGAAGCAGTTTGGTGCAGTCACACACACAGATCACGTTGCGGCCGAATTCAGACATTCAGGAACAAACTTTTTAGTGCTGCCTCGCAGTTTTATCAACTAAATAGCTTAATCGCTCAAGAGCTACATTATCTTTCTCAACAAGGAGCTGGTAACATCATTGTTTCTAAAGGAATTAATGCCACAGCTTTACTGTTAATAGAGAAACGCGGCAAAACGGTGGTAATTCATACATACACAGCCTCTCTCTCTCTCTGTGTCGTAAATGAACAGTTGATGAATTACATTTTTTTTGAGAATAAAATATTGAAGTGGAGATCGCTAAACTGCAAGATAGGCATGGGCCGGTATGAGATTCTGACGGTATGATAACCTTAGATAACAATATCACGGTATTGCGATTACAGCTCTAAAATATGTTTTTTTCCACTGAACACATTTTATTTTTAGAAACATATAGAACATTTTGGAACAGTAAACATGTCAGGCTAAATAATTAAATTATTCTTAATTAAATGCAGTAAAACTACTTTTTTTCCCCACTGAAAACATTTTATTTTTAAGAAACATATAGAACATTTTGGAACAGTAAACATGTCAGGCTAAATAATTAGAATAAGTAATTAAATTCTTCTTAATTATATGCAGTCACTTAAGTGAGCCTAAACCTGCAGCTCAATAATCTAAAATATAATCAAAACAATTTCTGTAAAAAAAAAAAAAAAAAAATGCATGCATAAACCTGCAGCTCAACAAGGTTTTTGGAGACATGCTCGCTTTTCTACACATTCATCTTTCAGTCCAAGTTATGATGCAGGAATGTTCACCTTTCCCGGATTAAGTTTGGAGCGTGAGGTACTAGGATGTGTGCACATACACACATAAGGAAAGAGAGAGTGCGAGTGTCACACACACACACACACACACACACACACACACACACGGTCTCTCCATACAACAGTTTGTTTTTTGTTTTTTAAATGTCGTGATTTTGAACAGATGTAAACAATGGCAGGAGGCTTAAAAGTCATCTGTACGGAACATCGTTGTGTACGGAACGTGGTTAGTCTACATTACCTGAAAAATTCCCATACGACAGACTTAGTCTTTTCGACGGGGGAAAAAGTTCCAGGGATTCATCTCCTTCGGCCATGCCTTTGCTGGAAATGTAAAGAAATTATTTGAATTATGTTTGCTTATAACACTTTTCAGTTACAATATTTCTTGATTGCTTAGATCCATCGCCTAACAAAACCTGGAGTGACAGATCATTTATTTCCAGATACCTTAAAGCTTGACTTAGTTGGAAACGTTCTCTTTCATAAGCCTCACATTTTATAAGTACATGTTCTACAGTTTCTGTTAACCCACATTTGTCACAATTTCCATTTTCATGTTTTCCTATTCTATGTAAGCACTGATTTAATAAACAATGACCAATACGCATTCTTGCAATTATAACGTCCTCTTTCCTGTTTCCAAATCTTCGTCTCTCTGAACCAACTTTTTCTTGTATGCAGTGAAATTGTCTACCTTTTGTTCCTTCTTCGCTACTCTCTTCGCTGCAAACAACTGAGGGAGTTCTGCACTTTCCGTCTTTGAAGACACTTAAAAAAATTGCGCATACCACAGGAACGGTATAACGGAAAATTTTAGTGGTTTTGAAACCGTGACTTTTCCAAACTGCGGTATACCTTGAAACCGGTTATCGTCCCATGCCTAGTCGTCATACAAAGAAAAAGATTACACAGATTTCGAACACACAAACTACGTGGCTAAAGCTAGTGTTAACTAGTCTTAACTTTAGCTACCTTGAGCATTAGCACAAATGTAACTTTTAAAACAATGTTGTTTGATATGACAAGTACATAAAACCTGAGCGAAAATGTGCACATTAAAATACTGAATGGCTACTCTAAACTGAATTTTATTTTCAAGTTTTAATTCCCTCAGTGTAGAGCTCAGATCCCATCCACAGCGAGAGACAAAATGGCGATGGGCGTGAATTGGTTTCCTTCGAAAAGGGGCGGTGTTTCTAAAGAAAACATAACTACTTAATTTAGCTTCAACATGATTAATTCTATATGGTTGAACATCCTTACAGAATAAATACATGGTACATGATTAAAATATGTTTAGATGAGAAGCATAAATTAATCATGTAAGAAATGCGAAATGCATATTTAAAAATTCAACAACCTCCCCATTGCCATTTTTTCAGTGAACTTACAAAGCCTGATATAAACTACATTACAAGTCAAAAATTTGGTCGAAGGTCGAAATATGAAAGTGAAACATTCAAACTGTGGATGATTTCTGACAAAAGGCAAACAAACAAAAACAGATCAACTTAAACTATGTAGCTTACCCAAGCATCAAAATAGCAACAAAGACAGGAAGAGGTTTGGATAGGAATAGTTGTAAGTAAGGAGATGGGTTGGTGGAAGGATGCTGGAAAACTGTCAAGGAACAGAGGTAAGGTAGAGTTGGGGAAAAGCCCCCCCCCCACCGTTTTCCCCAAAATATCCACAAGATAAAGTCAAGATACATTTTTTATTGTAACTATGGACTATGTTGACAAGAGTGATGTAGAAGTATTCACCAATAAGCTTTCACTGGTGATGTACCAGACAGAAAACAGATTTCACAGTAAATGATCTAATTTTCAGCAGTAAGAAAAAAAAGTGTTTTAAAGCTTGTTGTTGTGTAGAACATCACAGTTATATATGATATGAGAACAGTAGGGCCTGTAGATAGGGAGTGCGTTATTTAATAAAATATAATTATATTTTCAGAATGACAAATTTTTTTTCTCAAACATAGTGAGGTAAAACGCCCCCATGCAGGGGGCAATGGGCAATTACTGTAATTATTCTGTTCTGAACATCAAATCTTTTGTTTTTCCATCTAATGTATTCTGATATGAGAACAGTAGGGCCTGTAGATAGGGAGTGCGTTATTTAATAAAATATAATTATATTTTCAGAATGACATTTTTTTTCTCAAACATAGTGAGGTAAAACGCCCCCATGCAGGGGGCAATGGGCAATTACTGTAATTATTCTGTTCTGAACATCAAATCTTTTGTTTTTCCATCTAATGTATTCCAACTAGTTGGTTGAATAAAAATATTTGGACTTTATATTTAAAAATTACCTCAAATTAGGATCAGGTAGCTATTTAGCAATTTTTTCAAATAAGCGATTATAATTTTGTAATTCATAATAAAACTGCCTGTACTCTGATTTTGCTGTAAATGTTTAAAGCAAATTGCTTTGTCAGACTGGGGAGCATTTTACCCCACCCATGGGGGCGTTTTGCCCCATTGGTGGGGTAGTAGAAGTATTCACCAATAAGCTTTCACTGGTGATGTACCAGACAGAAAACAGATTTCACAGTAAATGATCTAATTTTCAGCAGTAAGAAAAAAAAGTGTTTTAAAGCTTGTTGTTGTGTAGAACATCACAGTTATATATGATATGAGAAGAGTAGGGCCTGTAGATAGGGAGTGCGTTATTTAATAAAATATAATTATATTTTCAGAATGACAAATTTTTTTTCTCAAACATAGTGAGGTAAAACGCCCCCATGCAGGGGGCAATGGGCAATTACTGTAATTATTCTGTTCTGAACATCAAATCTTTTGTTTTTCCATCTAATGTATTCCAACTAGTTGGTTGAATAAAAATATTTGGACTTTATATTTAAAAATTACCTCAAATTAGGATCAGGTAGCTATTTAGCTAGCCAGTTAGCATCAGCTAACAACATTTTTGTAAACAGGCTATTATAATTTTGTAGCTAATAATTGGTGATTATATTATTTTAAATTTTAAGCTAAAACTGCCTGTACTCTGATTTTGCTGTAAATAAAGCAAATTGCTTTGTCAGACTGGGGGGCATTTTACCCCACCTGTGGGGCAAAATGCCACCTTGGTACAAATTAATTTTTTGTTAAAAATCTAATAACATGAAAACTCTGGACATTTTTCATACTTGGTTTTTAATTTATGCCATTGCCACTAAAACTATGATAACTTTTCTGAACACATTTAACTCTTGTTTCACAGAAAAAAATGACACAGTTCTTAAGGGGGGCGTTTCCCCCCACTCTACCCTAAATCTGCTGTGTGTATACACCTGTTAATTAGGTTGATTACAGATCGTGCTCCTCTTGTGTTAATCAGGTTAATTATCTACACATGCTCCTCCTCCCGAACTTTTAATGAAACATCATTTCAAGAATCCATTAGTATATGTGTACATATAAGTGAAAGTGACGTGAGGCCAAGTATGGTGTCCCATACTCTGTGTTACAAGTGCAACTCCCGAACCATTCGGCCACGACTGCCCCAAAAGTTAAAATGAACAGAAAGCCATATAAAGGTTATTGGTATGTTAGTGTTTAATTAAAGGTGATTAATATATCAGCTTAATGTGTATTAACAACTTGTTAGATCATGCCTCCACGCCAGGAAATATCAGATCCTGGATCTAGTCTCTTAGCAGATCTCGTCAGAAAGGATCTGTTTTGTCTGGTAACCAAAACCTTGTCTGTGACCCTAAACTGCATCAACAAACATCTGTCAGTCTAAGAGCTGACATGGGAAGCAGAGAAGAGTAGAAAGCAGGTGATGAAGTGATGATAAAAATGAGTTTGAATAACCTTATTGTTTCAATGCTCGATCAGTTATTGTTATAATAAAACTCCATATGAATACGGATGAGATATGAAACAACAAAATCACCAGGTTAAACAACTTGCAAGCATTGCAAGATAAAAAAAAAATTATAATAACCTAAAATATAATAAAAAACAACATAAATGAATACATTATTTCATGAATAAATGAGAAATGATTGAATGATAATGAATGAATAAATGAGTAAATGTGACTGATTATAAATGATGAACAAAATAAATAAAACAACACTTGTGGTAACTTGTCAAAATCTGGTTGAATTGATCTTCCAGTGTTTTCCATCTCGTGTATTTATTTGCATTACAGATGCAGATGAATGAGAATAAATGTGTCGAGAAGCTCAGAACGAACACAAAATCCCTTCATCATCATGTCAAAGATCACAGTAACGTTAAGCCCTGAGTTTGAGTAAATAATGAGTCGATTCAAACCCATCACCCTCTGGACAAGGAGCCGTTTAGTTCAGATTCAGACTGATTCAGTGAATCAGGAGCATCCGATCTGAGCTTCATTTGGACAACAGCTTCAAGATCCCTGAGAGAAACACATTCAGATTCAGCAGAAGAAGATTAACTTACAACAGATGAAGATTCATTCTCATCAGATCTATGTGAAGGTCAAAACATCATCCACCTGTTTCACCTCTTCAGTGTTCAAGTGATTCACTGCATTACATTTATTCATTTATCAGAATGACTCTCACTGCATTCAAAGAGCTCATTTGATTCATTCATTCATTCTGTGTGAATCAAACCCATGATCTTAGTGTTGTTCAGGAATCACTCACCTGTTTTCTGCATCATCATCGTCACGCTGACAGATGAACCCCTGAAAACATCTGACAACAGATTGAATCTGATTATTACATATTATCACATCCAGCACAGAGTTTGAGTTTATTCGGACTGATAGGTTCAGTAATCTGAAGATAAAGGGAAATGTGATTCATGATGAAATATAGAGTGAGATTTAACGAATGGAATGATTCTTTAAGATTGATCAGGACTCACCTGAAGACCCTTTTACGCTTCAACAAACAGATCAAGAAGATGATGAGAAGAACAATGATGAAAACAGCCAAAAGCCACCAGAGCTGATCTACTGTATACAAGTGATAGAAAATACAATCAGCCAATCGACTGAACGAACAAACAAACAAATGAACCAATGAAATCAGCTGATATATGAACATGATGAAAAGAATATCAGGAAGCACATCCACAGATGTCACGCTCTTAATGTTTTACCTGAATGCTGGAGATCTGGAGTCACTTCATTCAGGAGATCTTTAAACACACAGTGATGATAAATATGAGAGGAAAGATTCAAACTGGATTGAGTGTGAATCAGGTGCGTTTCCCCAAAATTATGTTAGCTAACTATGGTGGTAAGTTCCACTGAACTCTATTGGTAACTTGCAGAACTTGCGACTATAGATGCTTTTGGGAAACACACCCCTGATCTGCAGTGTTTTATTAGTGAATAATCAGACGTTTATCAGCTGAAACTCACCTGAGTCTGGAGTCGCTGCAGTTTCATTCCTCGCTGAAAAACACATTTCAAAACAATAACATAAATTATGATGCGTCAAAGTAATGGTTTCCAAGAAACAACGATTTCAGTCCAATCCTCACACAATGACTTGAAATATAGTGCAGTGTGTATTCCCATGGACTGTAACTGTTATGATACATATTGTCATTCTGGATCTTGACAGCAGCTGGTCTCATTCACTTTCAATGTAATAATAAGAGAAACCAGGATATTCATAATATAATAATAATAATAATAATAATAATAATAATAATAAAACAACCCTATTGGGCACTCCATAGACTTTGCATTTTAGTGGTCACACTTCAGCAATGGCTGGTTACAAACAAACACAGAGCATCTCTTTCAATATAGGCCTTTCTGGTATTATTTCAACTAGCGATGGAGGTATTAGCCTATAATATTTACATCTTAAGTACATGTGGATAACAGACAGCAGAGGGTGCTAGAAGAGTGATTTATCCTCAGAAGTGTCCAACCCCCAACACACATGCCTGAAACTTTCTCTGAAGAACTTGATAAGCAAGTTGAGATCGACTGAGTAAAACATAAAATTGAATTCAGCAGGAAGGTGGCGCTCTAGACGCA